CAATTGTATCTCTCAATATCCGACTTACATAATTTTCAAATTTTTGTAATGCATGGCGGTCGAGTTCGAAACTTCAACTGGTTATCCCGTTTGACTCCGTTTTCTAAAACCATTGATGAACTCTTGTTTTGTTCCCTTTTCATGAGCTACAATATGTCTTAAATTTATGTTTTTGACTCGGTGATCTAAAACTAATGATGAACTCTTGTTTTTTCCCTTTTCATGAGCTATAATATGCCTTAAATTTATGTTTTGAATTCATATTTTTGGTTAATTAAAGTTCAAGTTTCATTTTTGCTCTTCATTTTTACTATCAATTGCGCAATTTATGGCTGCTTTAACTGACCTTTCCAACGCACTTCTTGCTTAAAATCTCAAGTCTACTTTTCATAAAATATTCAAAAAAAATAAAATAAAATAAATAATTTTAAAATTTTCATTAGTTAAAACGTTTTAAGATATTATTTAAAGTCTCAAATAAATACAACAAAACACCCTTAAATTGATTCAACAAAGAGACCCCAAAATAAGCACTTCGAAAGGAGGGCAGCAAAAGTTCACACTTGACAGATAGGCCGCGATGTTTTATATCGGCCGCTTTTTGATTAATCGTTTTCGTTTTTGTTCTATGTATCTGTATACACGCATGAAAATATAAAGCCTTCTAAAAGACACAGTTTTGTCTAAATGATTTGCCAGCCAAGTGTTTGTCGAAATGCCCAAGAGAAAACATATGGAGATAACAAAATTTTATGGAAATGATATGTCTCATCATCTTCTTCACATTAGACTTAGAATTAAACTGACCATCAAAAAATAATCTGAATCATGTTACCCTATGAATCCTACTGCCTTGGATTTTTGTTGCGAAAATCAGGTGCCTGTTGTCAAAATTTACATGGAGGAAATCAGACAACAACCAAGTGGAAAGTGCCCAACGCTTTCGGATGCAGAGCAAAACATGGCGTCGATCGTTAGGCTGAGCAGCTTTCCGGACGAAGTCATATGCCACATTCTCTCTTTCCTCCCCACTAAGCGCTCGGTGGCGACCAGCATTCTCGGAAAAAGATGGAGGTTACTATGGGCCCATCTACCCTCTCTGCATTTCAGTGTAATCGATTTCAAGGAAGAAGGAACACAAGCCTCTGACATCATCCACATGGTTATATTGCGGCACAAGGCAAAAAGAATGGAAACTTTGACACTCGATTACGTCAAATGCAACGAGTATCAACTGGAGACATGGATTACGACAGCCATCGAGCGTGGGATTCCGAATCTTTATCTTGAGCTTGACTTTGATACATTCCCTCGATCCCTCTTCAACTGCAAAACCATTGTCGAATTGAAGCTTGATAACAATAGCACACCACTCTCTGCTCTAGAGAATGTCTCTCTACCTAGCCTCAAGAAGTTTTATGTTTCTAATCTTATATGCGAGAATGATGATGCACTTCATCGCTTTCTTTCTGGCTGTCCGTCGCTCGAGGAGTTGAATATGGCAGTCCACTTTGGATATAATTATGTGGGCTGCGTAGATATATCATCACCCACAATAAAGACTCTTAAGCTCGATATTGGCATTTTTTTTTCTCGATATAACCTTGAATATAGGATTATAATAAATTCCCCGGCACTTAGGTATCTCAAAGTGGATGGCTGTGCTTTGGAGTTTCTAACAATTCCTATAACCATGATCTCCTTAGTTGAGGGGGATATCTTCTTCAGAAATAATTCGTTCTTAAAGCTCAAAACGAATTACAATTCAACGATAGTGAAGTTTCTTCATTCTTTGTGTTATGTGAAGTGCCTAAAGATATCAGTTTGGGAATTCGAGGAGGTATGTTTTGATCTTCAGTCTCTTAGAACCTCCTATCATATAGTTTTCGTTCAGCTTTGTTCTTATACACACATATATATAAGCGCATTATGTGGTTTAATTTTTTCAGTTTATGCATAGAGGAGTTGCTGGTTCAAGTGTAAAGTTTGATAATTTAACCAAACTTGAACTCCAAGTAGATGTTAAGTGGAGTTTGCTGGTAAAGTTCCTCGAAGTTGCCGATAATCTTGAAGTCCTTACTGTAAGTAGAGTTTATCATTGATGCAATTAAACTTGTCTTTAGCCGTCTCTCGTTTTTCTTGCAGTATAGCTCCTTTTGTTTTACCCATTTTGTTATGCTCCTTTTCGTGTGAGCAGGTTTATTTTAAAAAGGGATATTTGTGTCCGGAGCCCAAAAAAGTGCCTAACTGCCTGTTATCATGTCTACGAACAATAACAATTAAGTGGATGCGATTCGAAGAGCATGATTTTGACATGGTGAGATATCTTTTGAGGAAATCTCAAGTACTAGAGAGGATGGAACTATTGTATGAATGTATTGATCTGGAAACAAAATTCCAAGCGCTTCAGAGAATTTCATTATTTGAGCAAGGATCCAAAGCATGTCAGCTTGCCTTCTTTCCGGATTCTGAGTGATTGGCCTGAAGTTTTATTACGCAGTGAGTACTGATGTCAGCTTGCCTTCCTTTCGACTTGCTATGTTTCGTGCAATTATGAGACGATGAAAATATCGAGTATGTAACATGATGATGATTCACAAACTCCCAAGTGTTATGTTGAGAGTGGATAACTAATAAGGAACATATTTTCGACTTCATTACCTGCGGATTGTAAAAATTCCAAAAACTCAAACAAAAAACTCTTTATCAAATGATAAAACTCTAATTAAGTTCATAGTAAGTTTGTTATGTTTTGCTTTAGAATCCTTGTTTGTAATTAGGTGGCGAGGGGATTGTGTGTATTCAATGATAACAAACTCATCACATGGTACCACTACCACATGCAATTTCCTACAATTATACATATCATGTTAATTAATTATTGGGCTAGATAAATATTTGTTGCTACAAGCCTACAACTAGGCTAAACTACTTGGCCCAATTCACGTAATAAGTAATTGAGCCTTTGAGCCCAATAACATCAACAGAATCAGTTGATAGACGCGTGCCCTTCAGCCCTAAAATCCACTTCCCACATCGTTGTCTTTACTCTTTCCCATTCATCTCCTCAACTCCGGCCAATTTCCGACCAGTGGCGATCGGAATTGCGACAGTCTCCTTGTTCAGGCTTCAGGTTTGTCTCTTGCCCTTTTCGACTTCTTAGCTACATTAGTTGCTATATGAATGCTCTACTGTTATGAAGTGTATTTTCTCAACCTTTTTCATATTTGTCTCATCGTCTTCTTCACATTATACTTAGAATTAAACTGCCCTTCAGACAAATAGTCTGAATGCTACTGCCTTGGTTTGAAATTGTGAAAATCAGGCGTCTTTTGAAAGAAATTACATGGAGGAATCGAGACGATCGAGTGAAAAGTGGCCAATGCTTTCGGATAGAGAGCAAAACATGGCCTCGATCGATAGGCTGAGCAGCTTGTCGGACGTAGTCGTATGCCACATTCTCTCTTTTCTCGAGACAAAGCTCTCGGTGGCGACAAGTGTTCTCGGAAAAAGATGGAGGTTTCTATGGGCCCATGTACCCTGTTTGCATTTCAGAGGGATCGATTTCTGGAAAGAATGAACACAGGACTCAGATGATTTCTCGGAAGAAGAAACACAAGACTCGGACGAAGAAGGAATACAAGCCTCGGACATCATCCACAAGGTTATATTGCAGCACAAGTCAAAAAGAATGGATACTTTAACACTCGATTGCATCAACTCCAACGAGTATCAACTGGAGACGTTGATTAGAGCTGTCATCGACCGTGGTATCCGGAATCTTTATCTTGAACTTGACTTTGATACATACCCTCGATACATCTTCAACTGCAAAACCATTGTCGACTTGAAGATTCATTTCTATAGAGCGTTACTGTCACTGTCTGCTGTGGAGAATGTCTCATTGCCTAGCCTCAAGAAGTTTCATGGTTTTTATGTTGTGTGGGAGAATGACGAAGCCCTCTCTCTCTTTCTTTCCGGTTGTCCGTCCCTTGAGGAGTTGAATATATCGCTTACATCTGTGAAAGGAAATGATTATGTGGGCTGCATAACTATATCATCACCCACAATAAAGATGTTTAAGCTGGATCTTAACAATTTGACCTGTGACCCTAAATGTAGGATGATATTAAATGCCCCGGCCCTTAGGTATCTCCAAGTGGATGGCTATCAGTTGGGGTCTATAACAGTTCCTATAACCATGGTCTCCTTAGTTAAGGCGGAATTGCGCTTACGAAGTTACAATACCGCGATTGTGAATTTTCTTCAGTGTTATGTAAAGTACCTAGTGATATCAGGTTGGATGCTTGAGGAGGTATGTTTTGATTCTTCAATCTCTTAGGTCTCCTGTCAATTAGTTCCCGGCTTTGTTGTTTATATTTATGTGTAATGTGGTTTTATATTTTCAGTTTGTTCATAGAGGAGTTGCTTGTTCAGCTGTAAAGTTTGATAATTTAACCAAACTTGCTTTCAAATTCTCATCAATACGTACACAACATAGTTCCATCCTCTCCAGTACTCGAGAATTCCTCAAAAGATATCTTACCGCGTCAAGTTCATGCTCTTTGGACTGCATCCACGTAATTGTTATAGTTCTTAGACAGGATAATAGGCATTTAGGCACTTGATTGGGCTCTGGACACAAATATCCCTCTTCAAAACAATCCAGCTGACACTAAAAAGGAGCATAACAAAATGAGCAACACAAAAGAAGGAGTTATTGCTGTAAGAAAAACGAGAACGGCTAAAGACAAGTTTAATTGCATCAACAGTAAACTCCACTTACAATAAGAACTTCAAGATTGTCAGCAATTTCAAGGAACTTTACAAGCAAACTCCATTTGAAGTTAAACTGGACTTAAAAATACATTACCAATGTGTGCTTGTCATATAAGCGGTTGGCATATTAACATGTGCCCACCGTGGATAGATGAACATTACTGTATTTAATGTTTTGTTTGCAATTTACCCAAATATATATATTGATCCTCATGAATGTGTTTGTACATTTACCATCTAATACCAGAAAAATAGAAAAATTGATTGAAAAATTCTCAACTAATTTTGTCTTCAGGTTAAGCTGCAATGTATATAGTGTTAGCATGTTATGAAGCTTCAATTCAATGTATATGACAAGATATAAGTATTTTTAAATCACTAATTTCCCACTAACCATTCTCTTTATTTTTAAAATAATGAGCAATTTTATTATATGTTTTCCTAAAAATAATAGCAAAATAATAAAATTTGGCATGGCAAGTCAATTAAAATAAAATAGCAACACATATTAGTATATATAAAATAGTTTAGTTATAATTTGTTTTTGTTTTATCATACAACCTTTATCATTTTCATGCACAAATTCACTAGCTTTGTATCCTATGAGGCTCAGCTTCCAAAGGGGCGTAGACGTGGCCTGCCCCACCGTGCATCTGCCTGCTCTCAGGAGTCTCTTTTTGCACTTTGTGTGCTTCTGGTCGGAGCAGCTTCTGCCCCGTCTGCTCACCGGGTGTCTTGAGCTCGAGGACCTCACGCTCGACAGGTTCGAGACCGATTGGCGTGTGAAGTGCCTCCACGTGTCCTCTGGGCACGTGCTTGGGAGACTCACATTCGACGCAAGGAGATTTTCGTCAGGCGTATGGGAAGGAAATGCACGTAAATGGTGAAGATAGATTCCCCGGGCTGAGATGTCTCGAGTTACGGGACATGGCGGCCACGGCATCCTCTGTCGGGTTTCAGGTGCACGCATCGTGCCCGGCTTCAAGTCTTCGGGAGGTGAGGATCTATGGGTTCGGGGTGTTGAGAGCATGAGTTTGAGCTAGTGAGATATCTTTTGGGGAATTCTAGGGATTTAATGGTGGTGATGATTTATTTTCACCACCTTCGAGTTGGTTGTAGGGAGAAATTAGACGCGGTTAAGAGGATTATATTGTTCGAGCGAGTGTTTTTTTATTTAAAAAAAATTGTTGTTGTTGTTGTTTATTTTTTTTAAATTAAATTAGAGTTTTCGGCAAACTCTAATAAAAATCTCTAATTAAGTTGACAGTATATAGCATTGAATTTTGTTATGTTTATGGTTTCTAATCCTTGTTGTAATTATGGTGATGGGATTATTATAACTTGTTGTTTAACTACAAATCATATTTTTTAAGTATATTTAGGAAGTTTTTATTATTATTTGCAAATTTATTAACCGACAATGGTATATTTCAAAAAAAATAATAATAATAATAATTGTGAATACACTAACTCTCGTGGCTATGAATGGTTTATTTGCAATTTATTTTATCACTCTTTGAAAATTGCATTGTCTTTAGTATGTTAGTCATTTATAAATCTGTATGGTTTAATTTTAAATTATTTATGTATGATTTAATTGTGATTTAATTGTGAATGTTGTAATTATACCAAAAATTAATAATAATAATAATAATAATAAATAAATAAATTATAGTAAATATTTAAAAGGGCATATTTTTTCTCCCTAGGTCTTTACATTCAGAATGAAATTTATTTAGTTACAACAGTTTAATTATGTTAACCTATAGGTTAAACCTTAATGTAAATAAGATACAATATTAATACTATATTTTTTAATAAAAATTATACATTATACTAATTCTCGTTCATTATAAAATATCCAATTATTTATTTTATTATAATTTTTTTGCCATTTCAAGTTTGGTTATTTTGCTATTATTTTTAAGAAAACATATAATAGAATTGCTCATTATTTAAAAACAAAGAGAACGATTATTAGGAAAGTGATTTAAATATCTTGCCACATATATTGAAGCCTCAAAACATGCCAATAATCCTCCCTATATATAATTCTCGAATGCGCTGAGCTTACGTGGCTGCTTCTGGTGCTTCGGAATCCTATTTGGCGAAGAATCATGCTTCGTAATTAGGTTTGGATAAATAATATTGATATATTAATAATTAATATCTAAGTTCGGGTATTCCATAAATATTATTTAGCTAACTTAGGTATTTTAATATCACTTTTACTAATATAACCCTTTAATTCTTTGTAATTTTACATAGTGAGACACTAAATGACTAATATATCCCTGATTTTGATTTGTTTCCTTCAATAAGCTATTGAATTATAAATGTATTTTAAAAGTTGATAACTCTTGTATTTCTTATCGGTTTTACATATATAATATATCAAATTAATCATCTTTAGATGGTCTTCAATTTGACATCCATATTGTATATATGAAATAAATAAATTATATTTATCTTTATAATAATAAAAAATAATAATATTTATTAAAATTCATGAGAAAAATAAAATTATTTCTCAATTGATATATTTATATGTAATGTAGTTATATATTGTAAGTTAAAAAAAAAAAAATTAGTATAATATAACACAAGTAAGTTGCACAAATAAAAAGTGTCATAATAAATATATAATAATATATATATTCTTATAAAAAGTATTTAAATTTTCAAACTACTTTTTCTCATTAATTTTAGATTTTAAGAAAAAAAAATTAGCAAGCACCCGTGTAATACACGGGTGTTGTACTAGTATATCATTGAAGCTTAAACTCAAGACAAAATTAGTTGAAAAATTTTCAATCAATTTTTTAAGGCAACTGCTGGTGAAAGAGCAGCTACTACTGCAACAAGGGTGAGTACAAATGCCCACTAAGACATTAAAACTTGAGCAACACAGAACATAACACTTACGAGTTTATGAATAATCATCAAGTTACATATCCGATATTTTCATCGTGCCACAATTGCACAAACCATATGCATGTCGAAATAGTTACTACAGAGCTTGAGGAACATTAAGTTATCGAAATCGGACATTAGTGCTTACTACATAATAAGATCTCATGCCAATTACTTATCCGGAAGGAAGTCAAGCTGACATGCGCTGGATCCTCGCTCAAACAATGAAATTCTCTTAAGAGCTTCTAATTGCGTTTTCAGATCCAGATCCATACACGCAGAAAATAGTACCATCCTCTCCAATACTCGAGAATTCCTCAAAAGATATCTGATCATGTCAAGTTCATTCTCTTTGTATTCCATCCGTGTAATTTCTATAGTTCTTAGACTGGATAATAAGCATTTAGGCACTTGTTCGGGCTCCGGACACAAATATCCCGTTACAAAACCAATCTGCCGACACTAAAAAGGAGCATAACAAAATGAGTAGAACAAAATGAGTAGAACAAAAGGAGCTATTGCTGTAAGAAAACTAGAAATGACTAAAGACAAAATGAACTGCATCAGCGATAAACTCCACTTACAGTAAGGACTTGAAGATTATCAGCAACTTCAAGGAACTTTACAAGCAAACTCCAATTGAAGTTCAACTCGAGTTCAAGTTTGGTTAAATTATCAAACTTTACGGTTGAACAAGCAACTCCAACAAACTGAAAATATTAAAACCACATTACGCATATATATAACAACAAAGCTGAATGAAAACTAATTGAGAGGTGGTTCTAAGAGACTGAAGAATCAAAACATACCTCCTCAAGTTCCCAATCTGGTATCTTCAGGCACTTTACATAAGACAGAGAGTGAAGAAATTTAACCACCGTGGAAGTGTAATTTGTTTTCAGATTTGAGAAAGAATCATATGTTAAGTCGATATCCGCCTCAACTAAGGAGATCATGGTTATAGGAATTGTTATACATTCCAAGTCATAGCCATCCACTTCGAGATGCCTAAGGGCCGGGGCATTTATTATCATCTTATATTCAAACTTACATGAAATGTAACAATCAATCTGAAGCATCGTTATCGTGGGTGATGATATATTTATGCAGCCCACATAATCATCTTCTTTCACGAAGCTGAAATCCATATTCAACTCCTCGAGCGACGGACAGCCGGAAAGAAAACGAGGAAGCGTATCATCATTCTCGCATATAAGATTATAAACATATAACTTCTTGAGGCTAGGCAGAGACACATTTTTCACAGCAGAGAGTGACGCTCTATTGTTATCAAGCTTCAAGTCGACAATGGTTTTGCAGTTGAAGAGGTATAGAGGGAATATATTGAAGTCAAGTTCAAGACAAAGATTCCGGATACTACGATCGATGGCAGTTGTAATGAATGTCTCCAGTTGAAACTCGTTGCACTTAACGCATTTGAGTGTTAAAGTATCCATTCTTTTCGCCTTGTGCCGCAATAGAACCCTGTCGATGATGTCCAAGACATGCGTTCCTTCTTTCCGGAAATCGAATACACTGAAATGTAGAGAGGGTACATGGGCCCATAGAAACCTCCATCTTTTTCCGAGAACACTGGTCGCCACTGAGAGCTTTGTCGGGAGGAAAGAGAGAATGTGGCATATGACTTCGTCCTGCAAGCTGCTGAACCTGTCGATCGAAGCCATGTTTTGCTCTCCATCCGAAAGCTTAGGGCGCTTTCCACTTAATTGTCTGGTTTCCTCCATGAAAATTCTGAAAAAGGCCACCTGATTCTTACAACTAAAAACCAAGACAGTAGCATTCAGACTATTGTGTGATGACTGATGAGCAGTTCAATTCCAAGTCTAATGTGAAGAAGATGACGAGAAAAATACGAAAATAGTTGAGAAATACAGTTAACAGTAGAGAGCATTTATATAGCAACTAATGTAGCTAAAAAGTCGAAAAGGGCAAGAGAGAAACCTGAAACGTGAAGCCTGAACACGGAGACTCTTGCGGTTTCTCCCAATTATTATCGCCACTGGTCGGAAATTGGCCGGAGTTGAGGAGATGAATGGGAAAGACGACGATGAGGAAGTGGATTTTAGGGCTGATGAAGGACACAGCGTCTTTCAACTGATCGGGTGATGTTATTGGGCTCAGATGCTCAATTACTTATTACAAATTGGGCCGAGCAGTTTAGCCTATTTGTAGCTATCGACCCAAAGGCGTGGCCCAATGTTTTTTTCTTCAGTAACGCCACAAAAAACTCTTTTATTCAACAAACTGGGTTTTTATCGAAAACGTCATAAAACATTTAGAAAAAAATAAATCTTTTTTGGTTTTAACCTTGCGACATAGAAGGAAAAGGCCTCCATGGCCACCGGCTTCCTCGCTGGAATTTGTTCCTTTGTGTATTTTATTGATGCTGATGTTTGTCGATGGAATCGTTTTCTGATCAAATGTAAAATATATTAGTATCCAATGGAACTTATAACTTGAATGAGGTGTTGATGGATTTTTTATTGTGAAATTACTTCAAATATTCTACCATGTATTTACATTTGCACATATGTAAATAAAGTATTGTGAGTTGTTGGTATTAATCAAATTAATTATATTCACTATTCATAAGTACTTAATTAATATAATTTAAAAAATTATTATGAAAATTGATTTGATTAAATATATTATCGTCTATGGTTGTAGGTATTAGTCAAATTAATTATATTCCCTATTCATTAGTACTTAAAATATTTAATAAAATATTTAGAATAACTATATTCAAATCATAATAATTTAATGAATAATTTAAAAAATTACTAAAAATTTTAAAATGTAGTCAATTTAACTATAAAAAGGTACACTCATTAAATATATCATTATGCAGTGATAATACTATTTGAAAATTTAAATAATATACTAATAAAAATAAAATTTGATGGTCTTGTGCAATTCAAACTTATAAATTTCACCTTAAAAGTATCTATATACATTAAAAAACTATTTAATTTTTAAATATGTATTTTCTTCTTATATACTATTTTATAAATGAAAAATAAGTCAATAAAAAAGCAATGTATGATAATTTAAAGTATAGCACTTGGTAAATATGTGAATATATAATATATCTAAATATTCTAATAGATATTATGTAACTCATTATATAGGTTAAAAAAGTGAATTCAGAAATAAATATAAATGTAAAATGAAAACATAAAAACAAAATATTAACAATAAAAAATTTATGCATTGCATAAGGACCAAAGTTACTAAAAAATAAAATTTGTTTATCAAAATTTATAACATTTAATGCGCGTAATGATTAGCAAAAGATAAATATTATTGGTTAAGCGTTGTCAATTATCAAAAAATTATGAATTGCTGAAAAAAATTATAGGACTATAATAAACGACAATTATAAGTACATACAGGTAATTTGTATACAAATATAATATAATCTTATGCATTTATAATATTTTATAAACTACTAAATAATAAAATTTATATATTAATAGTAAAAAATACAAAAAAAAAATATCAATAATAGTAAATAAATAAATGTCATGTTATTGTTGAAAACAATATTGTGGAGAATAAAATTTCATATTGTCTTAATTGATTTTATAATATTTAAATAAAATATATTTTTCTATTACACCCCGTGCATCGCACGGGTATCAGCACTAGTTAGTATTCAATGGAACTTGTAACTTGAATGAGTTGTTGATAGATTTTTTATTGTGAAATTACTTCAAACTAGTATTCTACCCAGTACATTTGCACAGATGTAAATAAAGTATTGTGAGTTGTTTGTATACATATAATGATTAATGATTTTTATTTCACTTTTTTGCAGGCTAAATTTACAATTAAAATAGTTGGATTTTTTTTTTTTTTTTTTAAATTGCGTTTATTAGATTGAATGTAATGTATATTTTGATATGTATTTTTTTGTAAATATTTAAAAGGGCATATTTTTTCTCCTAAGTGGTTACATTCGGAATGAAATTTATTTAGGTTCAACTGTTTAGTTTGAACTCATTAGGTATAGGTTAGACCTATTGCTCCGCCAACTTGATTTTATTAATGTAATTAAGATTTATAGTATTTTTTTTTTATAAAAATATACACTATACTAATTTTCGTTCATTACAAGATATTCAATTATTTATTTTATTTTAATTTTTTTGCCATTTCAAGTTTGGTTAATTTGCTATTATTTCTAAGAAAACATAAAATAGAATTGCTCATTATTTAAAAACAAAGAGAACGATTATTAGGAAAGTGATTTAAAAATACTTTGAAGCTTAAACTCAAGACAAAATTAGTTCAAAATTTTTCATATCAATTTTTTAAGGTAATTGCTGGTAAAAGAGCAGCTACTACTGCAACAAGGGTGAGGTACAAATGCCACCAAAACATTAATAACTTGAGCAACACAAAACATAACAATTGGGAGTTCATGAATCATCATCAAGTGACATACCCGATATTTTCGTCGTCTCACAGTTGCAACAAAACATATGCATGTCGAAATAGTTATTACAGAATTTGAGGAACATTAAGTTGTCGAATGCAGACATCGGTACTTACTACATAATAAGATATCAAGCCAATCGCCTATTCGGATGGAAGTTGAGCTGACATGCGTGGGATCCTCGCTCAAAGAATGAAGTTCTCTTAAAAGCTTGTATTTGTGTTTTCAGATCAATACATGCAGGAAATAGTTCCATCCTCTCCAATACTCGAGAATTGCTCAACAGATATCTCACCATGTCAAATTCATGCTCTTTGAATTTCATCCGTGAAATTTCTATAGTTCTTAGACTGGATAATAAGCATTTAGGCACTTGTTCGGGCTCCGGACACCAATATCTCTTTCCATAATAAACCAGCTGACAATAAAAGGAGCATAACAATGCGAGTAGAATAAAAGGAGCTATTGCTGTAAGGAAAACGACAAACAACTAAAGACAAATTTAATTGCATCAGCGATAAACTCCACTTACAGTAAGGACTTGAAGATTATCAGCAACTTCAAGGAACATTACAAGCACACTCCATTTGAATCTCAATTCGACTTCAAGTTTTGTTAAATTGTCAAACTTTACAGTTGAACAAGCAACTCCTCTATGAAAAAACTGAAAAAAGTAAACCACATTACGCATATATATATAACAACAAAGCCGAAAACTAATTGACCCTAAGAGACTGAAGAATCAAAACATACCTCCTCAAATTCCCAATCTGATATCGTTAGGCACTTTACATAACACAGAGAATGAAGAAACTTCACCACCATGGAACTGTAACTTGCTTTGTGATTTGAGAACGAATAACCTCTTAAAATGATATCCGCCCCAACTAAGGAGATCATGGTGATAGGAACTGTTATACACTCCAAGTCATAGCCAAGCACTTCGTGATACCTAAGGGCCGGGGCATTTATTATCATCCTATATTCAAACTTACATGAATGGTCAAAATAAATCTGAAGCACCTTTATCGTGGGTGATGATATATTTATGCAGCCCACATAATCATCTTCTTCCTCAAACCTGAATGTCATATTGAACTCCTCGATCGACGGACAACCGGAAAGAAAACGAGGAAGTGCATCATCATTCTCACATACAAGATTAAAAACATTTAACTTCTTGAGGCTAGGCAGAGACACATTTTTCACAGCAGAGAGTAACGCTCTAGTGTTATCAAGCTTCAAGTCGACAATGGTTTTGCAGTTGAAGAGGTATCGAGGGAATGTATCCAAGTCAAGTTCAAGATAAAGATTCCGGATACTACGATCGATGGCAGTTGTAATGAATGTCTCCAGTTGAAACTCGTTGCAGTCGACGCGATTGAGTGTTAAAGTATCCACTCTTCTCGCCTTGCGCTGAAATAAAACCCTGTTAATGATGTCCGAGGCTTGTGCTCCTTCTTCCCTGAAATGGACTCCATTGAAATGCAGAGAGGGTACGTAGGCCCATAGAAACCTCCATCTTTTTCCGAGAACGCTGGTCGCCACTGAGAGCTTTGTCGGGAGGAAAGAGAGAATGTGGCATATGACTTCGTCCTGCAACCTGCCGAGCCTATCGATCGAAGCCATGTTTTGCTCTCCACATGGTTGTCTGGTTTCCTCCATGTAAAATATGAACAAGGGCACCTGATTCTTACAACTACAGACCAAAGCAGTAGCATTCAGACTATTGTGTGATGGGCAGTTCAATTCTAAGTCTAATGTGAAGAAATAGTAAACAACTAATGTAGCTAAAAAGTCGAAAAGGGCAAGAGAGAAACCTGAAACTAAAGCCTATAAGCACGGAGACTCTTGCAATTTCTATCGCCACTGCCTACTGGTCGGGAATTGGCCGGAGTTGAGATGATAAATGGGAAAGAAGACGATGAGGAAGTGGATTTTAGGGCTGATGAAGGACACGCGTCTTTCAACTGATTCATTTACTTTTAACGAATTGGGCCGAGTAGTTTAGCCTAGTTGTAGAGACCCAAATTATATATATACAAGTTAATGTTACTTTTGGCTTGGGTCGACCCAAAGGCGTGGCCCACTAATAGATTGAAGTTTGATAACATTTTGTCATTGTTGTTGTGTTTTATGTGTTGTCAATATTGTAGTACTACTTTTGTGGAGAACATTTCATAAAGAGATTGTATGTTTTCAGCCCTTCAAATAAAATCCTTGATCTCAAGATTTGTTGAAAGAGTAAATATTGATAAATTAAGATAAGTGAATCGATCTAATAGGATAACACTGTGAAGCAAGATAGTAATGTTGTTTAACATTTGGTGTGTTTTTATCTAATGATCAGTGATTTCATAATTATATGAGCCTTTTCATTTGTCTGTCTTATTTTGTCAGCTTTCAAAATAGCAAAAATCATCTTTCATGATCCGAAACCGACAGGGCGAATTCAAAAAATTTTAGTAGAGGCCCGGTTCATAATATAATTTTAAAAAACATCGCGTGTTAAATATAACAGAAAAAAATATGTACTTCCAAACTTTGTTAGCAATTAGAGTTGCTTAATTTTCTCAAAATATATTACATTTTAATATTTGACTCAAACCTGTGCAATATAAAAATAGAAAAAAAAAAATAAAAGAAAAATGTCATGTTCAAATTTTCCATAAGCATTATCATATATTCCCACCACATTAAATTTCATATCTTAAATGCTATGTATATCAACTTTACTACTCGCATTAAGTTATATACAAACGTATTTATAGAAGTCTTGCAAGATCTCTTTATTATTTATAATAATTAATACATGGACTAGTATAAATGAGTTAGGATAGAGTTGTAGAGGTTCTTCTACTAACACTCTTATTTGAATTCTCTATTTTTAGGTAAGACTGTAGATTATCAAAGCATTAACTTATTTCTTTAAATTAAGGATGAATATACAAATATAATTTACATCTACTTAATAGAAAAAAAAAAAAAAATGTTGGGGAGCACAATTTGAAATCATGATTATGTGAACATAGTTGGAATGCACTGTATGCTTTCATGGTCCGAACCTGATTATCATTCAGACCAAACTTATCTGCTTCCTTCCCACCAAACAGTCTGTTGTAGCGAATCCTGTTTCAGGTGCACGAATCGTGCCTGGCGTAAAGCCTTCGGGAGGTGAGGATCAATGGGTTCGGGTGCAGAGATCATGAGTTTGAGGAGGTGGGGTATCTTTTGGGGAATGCGAGAGTTCTAATTGCGGCGGTGATTTATTTTCACCACCTTCGAGTCCGTTGTTGGGAGAAATTGTACACGGTCAAGAGGATTATGCTGTTAGAGCGAGTGTCACCGTGATTTTGCTTTCTATTGAGATTGTATTAGGAGGTTCTCGACTGGGATTTGGTTCGTTCCGGATTATTAGTGCTGATTTTTTTCTAAGTTGTGTTTGGTATGCTTATATTGTGTTATGAGGACTATTTTTTTCTAATGTTCCATCGACTGGCATCGTGTCCCTCGGGTGCTCCATGGCGAACTCAAATATGAGAGAAAGTCTTGAGTAATGAATTGTATTACTTGAACTTTAGATAAGGTTAAATCCGATTCATCAATATGCTAATATTTCCAGTCTGTTTTCGTGTTTTTAATATTAGTCATGACACTATTATTTTCATTCCACATGGTGCATGGGAATCGCAAGAGTCTCCTTGGTTTTGGAGGTTTCAGGTTTCTCTCTTGCCCTTTTCAACTTCTAAGCCACATTAATTGTCTTTAAATAAATATAAATGCTCTCAGCCTTTTCAAGTCTGTCTCATTATCTTCTTATTCATATTGTTTTTAAAACAATAGTCTTATTCCTAGTGATACTCTCTTAACGCTACTGCATTTTCAGAATTTAAATGGAGGAAACCAGACAACTAAGTGGAAATTGCCAAACGCTTTCAGATAGAGACCAAAACATGGCATCGATCGATAGGCTGAGCAGCTTGCCGGACGACGTCAAATGCCACATTCTCTCTTTTCTCCCGACAAAGCTCTCAGTGGCGACAAGTGTTCTCGAAAAAAGATGGAGGTTTGTATGGGCCCATGTACCCTGTTTGGACTTCAGTGGAGGCGATTTCAGGAAGAAAGGAACACAAACCTCGGAAGATTTCTTGTTAGAAGAAACATGGTTAGAAGAAACACAAGACTCAGACGATTTAAGGGAAGAAGAAGGAACACAAGCCTCGGACATCATCCACAGTATTATATTGAGGCACAATACGAACAGAATGGATACCTTAAAACTATGTTACATCAAATGCAATGAGTATCAACTGGATATATGGATTAGGACAGCCATTGAGCGTAGTATCCGGAATCTTTATCTTGAACTTGACTTCGATACATTATCTCTATACCTCTTCAACTGCAAAACCATTGTCGATTTGACACTTCGTATCAGTAGAGTGTCAATTTCTGCTGTGGACAATGTTTCTTTGCCTAGCCTCAAGAAGTTTTATGTTTATAATCTTATTTGCGAGAATGATGATGTCCTTCCTCGCTTTCTTTCCGGCTGTCCTTCGCTAGAGGAGTTGATTTTGAAGTTCACCTTTGTGGAAGATAATTATGTTGGCTGTATAAAAGTATCGTCACCCACAATAAAGATGCTTCAGCTTAGTTTCAACTATTTATCTTGTAACCTTGAATGTAGGACGATAATAAATGCCCCGGCCCTCAGGTATCCCGAAGTGGATGGCTATAACTTGGAGTGTATGACAATTCCTATAACCATGATTTCCTTAGTTGAGGCGAATATCAACATAGAAAATTGTTCGTTCTCAAATCTCAAAATGAATTACAATTCTACGGTGGTGAAGTTTCTCCATTCTATGTGTTATGTAAAGTGCCTAACGATATCAGCTTGGAATTTTGAGGAGGTATGTTTTGACCAGTTTTGTTATGGAGCCATCGGATGGCTCGGCTTATGGAGCAATCCATACTTAATCACCAATAGTGCATTGACATGTGTCCTACAGTAAATACAATTTAGACAGGTGTCACTATATTAAGTGATGGATGGCTCCGTAAGAAAACAATCCGATGGCTCCATAGAATTTTTGATGTTTTGACTCTTCAATCTCTTCAATGTGATAAGCATAATTTTTTTAATAAGATTCTCACATACATCAAATACTTGATTTTGTACAAAATAATACGACGTGAACTCAACTGTTATGAGATATCCCAAAAATTTTGGATTCTAAAAAACCAAACAAATAATAATAATAATTTATAATCTATAGTAATATAAAGAGGTTGTTGTAAAAATACTTAAATAGTAATTTTGGTTTTACTTAAAAATAAAGTGTTGACTTACTAATATAAGTAATCTATTACTACCTCCATTTCAAAATAAATGTCGTTTTGACTTTTTTGATTCATCCATTATGCTATACTTTATAGCATAATGGATGAATCAAAAAAGTCAAAACGACATTTATTTTGAAATGGAGGGAGTAATATATAAAGAGAGAATGATATTTACTTGAAATAGCAATTAAAAATCAGCCATTTGATTTTCGGCCTAAAGTATTTACTATATTGAGTATTATTTTTTGCCAAAAATTGAATAATCCCGCCTAAATTAATGTAATTAATGTACAGTAAAATATTGTGGCTATTACCTTTATTAGTCGTATGATTTTAATTTGAAATATAATATATTAATAAAACTTGTAGGTATTACCTTTATTAGTTGCATTGTTTAAATTTGATATATAATGTATTGAAGAAAAAAAAATATTTTTACGAAATAATAGTCAATTATTTATAGTTTAATTTGTACGTAAATAAAATAGTCAATTATTTATAGTTTAATAAATTACTCAATAACATATGGGTCAATATTAACTTAGACGAAAACGAAATAATAATTATTTATAGTTTATTATATTAATCAATTACTTAATTTTTTATTTGAATAGTGTTATCATCCGACTCGGCAAGACGCTGTTAAGAGGTTTTAAGCATCCTGTTAAACGCGATTAACAGTTAAACCGACATGGATCATAACCGCACCGATCTACACCAAAGAACCGGTCTGAACCACCAAAGACCGAAGTGACCGACAATTACCGAGGTCAACACCCACCGAGGACAACATGAACCGAGGTCGTCACCTCCTTAAGCAGGTGACAAGGCATCTACGAGAGGCTCTCCTACTCCACAAGATCTGTCATCATTTACGTGGGACCCTCTGCCTCGAACCGCCCATAAAAAGCTACTTTATTCCAAAAAGTAGTACACGGATCCCAATATCTCAGCCCAAAACTACTATAAATAGCGGACCTGTGACAATTGTAGAGGGCTCTCGATTTTTATATACATTACCGAACTGCAAACTCTATTACGTAACACGTAAAAGCCCATCACGGCTCTTCACCTCGGTTCACCTCGGACCGGGGCCATTATTGGTTCAATCTTACATGCTTTACGTTCACATCATTCCAAATTACTCCCTTCATCATATATCACATCGTTGTTAACAATCACATAACAACAAATAGTCTATACAAAAATGGATTATTTTAAGTAATGAGACAATATAAATTTTATATTTACTCATATTATTCACATAGGTTGTTAAATATATGATAATTTTTTTTACCAAAATAACTATTATGGGGAATCACATTGCAGTCAAATCGAATTTCAGAATAAAATTTTTGAAATGATACTTATTTTGAAACGAATATAATGTGACTTAC